TGGTTTGAGAATTGCACCATGAGTCTGGGAGACCAGAATTCAAATCTCCACTAAGTCATGGATGACATTGGGCCTTATGACTTTGGACCTTATGACCTTGGGCAAACCACTCTCTTTTAGCCTCAGAGAAGGACAATGGCAAAGAAAACTTTATAGTTGGCTTGCATTAGGGTTGATGAAAGTCAAAAAGAACAACAAAAAACAAAATTATTTAAACTCAGTTAGACTTAACTATTGATTGGATAAGAACAAATATGTACTAGGAAAATATGCATTTAGTTTCCTATGCCTTATGATTTTTAACCATTTCAAGGTGCTTCATAACAGGGCTTAGCAAGAATTGCTGCATATCCACAACTGGGGTTGGCATTCTCCAGTAATGCAAATGATACAGCAGTGTAGGTATTGCTTGCAAGTAAAATATATCTGTCTTGATGAAAATATATTTCCAGTTTTGCCCTCACTATTGAGCATCTTGTACACCTGTACTTTGAATGTCTGAATCTAAAATTATCAAAGAAGAAAAACAGTAATTTTGTACACAAAACTGTATTTTAACATCAGAATTTCATAACCCCATTCTTATTATTTATTTCAAAAAAGGATAAATGTGCTTTTTAATTTATATTTTCTGTGAAGAAAATGTTTATTGAAGTAGCAGGCTGAAACAATAGTCTATTTCCTTACTGTGAACAGAGATTGCAAAATGAAGTGAGAAGCCACCAGGAAATAAATCACTATCTAGGGAAGCTTGTTGATTAAATATATCTCACTTCACACAGCAGATGTGAAAAAGAGAAAAGACTAATTATCAGCATAATAGATGTTAAACAAATGTTTGACTTATTGATGATAAAAAAGCAGCACTATTAGTGGCAATTACTTCTTCCTGATGTATTGTTTTACTCCTTCCTGATGTATTGTTTTAATCACTCCTGCAGAATATAATTCCTTTTGTGCAGAAACAACCACCTTATTTGCCCAAGAGAAAAGCTATAGGCATAAAGATGTGTTATTCAAAATGTAATTGATTACATCCATGCAACTTCCAGGGAGAACAAAATGGATTAGTTAAAAAGAACCAGCTTTTTCTTTTTTGTCTCTCCAGCTTACAAAATCTGCATGAGTCAGTAACATGATGCATATGTTATTTCAATAGGCTCCTTGAGGATGCTGATCAATATGTAAAGCAGGGGTAAGCAAGTGCATGAGGAACGGAGACAATTTTTCACTCCATGACCTTACTGATGCCACATTGATGTGTCAGCAGAACACCAGAAGTGACATCACATCACTTTCAGTTAGGAGTGCTAGGTCAGGATCATTCTAGGCTTTCAGATTTCTGGGTCTGAGAACCTATGGATGGCCTTTGGTGATGTCATGAAAACAGGGACTGGTGATGTCATTAAGCATTACTGCTGAGTGCTTGCCTTTCAAATGCACACACACACACTATATTTCCTAGTTGGAAATTAAATGCCTTTGCAATTGCAGCACTTGATTTAAATCAATTAATATTTGCAAATTTCAGCAAGTTACACAGCCAGCCAGAAGGCTCCCAGACTGATCAGAGATTTAATGCGATTTTGTATGTTGTCTAGATTTAACCCCACAAAAATGGTAGATTTTTTCATGGGCCTGTCACCTGGATATGGCCCATGAAAATGAAAATTGTAGTCAGGGTAACACCTTGAGAGTGGGCAACCCTACTCCTGGTCATCTCTCCCTCTCCAAAAAAAGATCCCTTGGTTGAGGATTCTGGACACAGGAAGCAAAACTGCTGAATTTGCAAACAGATTTCTTGTTTGGAGAGCATTTTGTGGTGAAAACCACTTGAATATTGACCCAGAACATTAATAAAAACATTTGATGATGGATCGGAATATATATTGTTTAAAAGAGTTTGTAACCACTTAGATCTCAGGAATGTAATATAATAAAAACATCAGGAGAATTGGGGAACCATATGGACTGCTAGAGCCCACCAAAAATAGTATTTGAAGGCCTCATTTGTCCCATACATGGCTCTTTCCTCATCCATGATATAATGGGTCAAGGGCCAATCTCCCGAGTCCCCTTCCTAAACAAAGAATATTTCTGCTTCAAAAAGTCAGTTGCAGCCTCTATGGTTCATGAAAACCATTTCACTACATCACTCACTTCCTCTAATGTTTTAAGTATCCAGTGAAGGTGTTTTAATAATGAAAGTAACTATCTAGTCACTTCCTGTTTTGAAAACTAAAAGTGCCTATGGGCCTAAGTTAGACTGACAGGATGTAGTAAAATGACCGATTGTGCCCCATAAGAACATTATTGACCTTTTACTTATCTTTTCCAGAATTTGGAGGTGCACAAGGTGGTTGATGTGGTATCTGTGGCGAGGGGAGATATAGAACCTTTGGAAGCTGCCCACCCCTCCATTAGGAAGATATTGGAGTTAGTGATAATAGTCTATCAGGTGTTCCTCCTGGAATGTTTGTCCATTTCCTTCTGACACACAACCTGTTCTCAGCCCACTGAAACAGTGCTATTATCTGATGTGTGAGACTCGTAAAAGTCCTCCTGTTATGTGCCAAGGAATGTCACCATATTTGTGCCCAAGGATTACTACTGCTTCTTTCTTTCCTGGAACTTCACCATGGACCAGTGCTGATTTGTGAGCCAGCACCTTGAATAAAAGTCCCATTGCCAGTCCAGACCAAGAGTGAATAGCTAGTACATGGCTTCCATATATTCAATGGAAAGGAGTCTCTGTCTTGTCCAATATGTAGAGAGATCTTGTAACACCTTTGAGACTAACTGAAATAAAGAGGTTGGCAGCATTAGCTTTTGTAGACTTCAGTCTACTTCCACAGATGCCTCTTTGTATTGTCCAAGTTAGGGAACAAAATATATTTTGGACCAGTCTTGTATCTGGATACTAGACAATGAGACACATTATAGGATTAAAGTTGTCCCTGCAGACTAAACAAAATTGGCAGGAAGCCGACCCATATATAATTTGGGTTATTGTCAAATTCATATACTGTAAAATATAGAGAGCCAGCATAGCGATTTGAGTGTTGGATTGCAACTCTGGAGACCATGATTCACTTCCCAGCTTGATCATGAAACCCACTGGGTGACCTTGGACAAGTCACATGTTCTCAGCCTCAGGAAAGGCAATGGCAAACCTCCTCTGAGCAAATCTTGCCAAGAAAACTCCATGCCTTAGGGTTGCCATAAGATGGAAACAACATGAAGGCACACAACAACAACAATAGCTACAACACAGAATAGAGTCAGCATGGTGTAGTGGTTTCACTGTTGGATTACGATTATGGAAACCAAGGCTTGACTTCCTGCTCAAGTATGGAAACCCACTAGGTGACTTTGGGCAAGCTGCAGAAAACCTTGTGATGGGTTTGCCATATTGTCGCCATACATCAGAAACAAATTTAAGGCATGCAACACAACAAAATAAGGACTACTTGAGAATATGGGGCTTTCAAAAGGCAGTATGGAAGGGGTGAGGAAGAAAAACTTCATGTGCCCCAAATACTCTGGGGGTTTTTGGAGTCCCTTTGAAGGTCAATAGCCATGGCTTTGAGTTTATTTTATAAGGGTCTTGCTAAATGGTGGAAGAGCAATGTCATATGTGATGCACACTCTTCATTATCCCATTCATTTTCATTATTAAAATTTACATTTTGTTTCACATTTATTTCCATATTCATTTGTTTAAATGATACTCATTCTCATTGCTCACATTGTGTGTGTTCCCCTTTCTTTCCATTTAAAACCTCTGGCAATAGTAGCATCAGAAATGATTTTCATACTTGTCTTCCTGGTTGTTGCCATTTTATTTTCCCAGAATGTGTTAGGCAGTATCCCATTTCACAGCATCCTGGATTAAAAATGGCATTTGCCTTAAAGAAATTTCCATTCTCCACCCATCCCAAATGCTGTGAAACAATGCAATGGCTGGGATAATGAAAACAAAATTATTTGTACCAATTTGTATCAATTTCTTATTCATTGCATGCACTAAGTAATGGATAAGAACTGAACCAAATGGGGACAATTCCACTCAGTTTTTCATTTGCCATGACAGCTCCCCAGTGGCACTTACTGTGCAAGGCAGAAAACTATATCACATTATATAATCAAGGGAGGCCAATTTCTGCAGATCCAGGAGCCAATTTTTGCCCTTCCCAGAGCCTGTTGGAGGCTGCAAGTGCCATTACATTTTCCATTATAATTCAGCAATACAATATCAGTGGCAAAACAGAACATTTCCCATTAAAGACAAAGCATTCAACAAGACACACTTTGGTTTAAAATACACAGGAGGTTGCCTTACACTGTGATGAACCACTGGTCCATTTCACTCAGTACAGTGGGCCCTCCACATTTGCTGGGGTTAGGGTCATAGGACCCCCATGAAAGTGGAAAAAACGTGAATTTAAAAAAAACTATTTTTTTTCCAGAGAGAGCACCTCTCCAGGAATCTCTAGGTTCTCCAGAGTAGCTCAGTGGTCAACATCTGCTGGAAATTGACCACAGAATCACACCGGGGGTCCTACAAATATCTAGAGAAGTATTTTTTCCAGTAATCTCTAGGTCCTCCAGTGCAACTCTATAGTCAACTTCCAGCAGAGTTGTGCTAGATGAACTAGATATTCATAGAGGGAGCATATTAATCAAATCTGCAAATAATCAGATCCGTAAAAGTCAAAGTTGCAAATGTGGGGAGCTGACTGTATTTTCAGTGCTAACTGGAACCAATATCTCTCCAGACTTTCAGGAAGGATTCATTCCTAGCCCTACTTAGAATTAACTGGCATTTCTTTCTGGTGTTTCCCCCAAGACCTAACCAGTCATTACTGTACTTAACTAATCAGGCACGATTGGTTATATTCAGAGTGCTATGGTGAAAGGACCTTCATGTTTCCGGGAAACTTTGTACAGACCTTTCTCTGCATTACAGCATCCTAACAGTGATTTGAGGGATGATGGTGAGTTTGGTATAGTGGTCTCAGTGTTAGATTAGAACTCTGGAGATCAGGGTTTGAATCCCTGCTCAGCTATAGAAGCCCACTGTGTGACTGTGGAAAAGTCACATTCTTTCAACCCCAGAGGAAGGCAAAGGCAAACCACCTCTGAATAAATCTTCCCAGGAAAATCCTGTTAGGGTTGCCATAAATCAGAAATGACCTGATTGGACACAACAACAACAGGGTGACACTAAGGATGCCACATATTGCAGAAAACTATATTTAGTAATAACCCTCCTTTGAATATGATAAATTTGACTGAGTGTTTTGACAAGTGTTGGTCTTCATGTTGAAGATGGGTAGTCAGAAAACTTGTTCTACTATTTGATACTGTTTTGTAGTGTGTGCCATTTCTGTGTGCTTTGCTGGTCTATATAATGTATGCATCTGTATTCAGTCGTCAAAATAGCTACTGTGGGCATGGCAGAAACTCGTAAGAATCCTATAAATTCTTATGAGAACCTATGATGAAGTCCACCCAAATATCTCATTCTTGGATTGGCTCCTTCATTTCTTGCCTTGTAGTAGTCAATGACTCACTGATTTTAAACATGCTTTTTTAAAAAAATTAAAAGTAGAAGGCATACTTATCTCATAGTATATTGTCTAGAAAAAAGAGATAGCTATTAAAAGTCTAGAAAAAGAACAAAGGGAACTTGTCTAGTTGTGTTCTACATTCTACCAATGTTTTAAGAACATAGAGACTCTCAAATATTAAAGGTCTAATAGCTAAGGTCTGGGGCTTATGCCAAAGAGTATGTTTCTGCTGCCTACTTATTGAGTAAATTTACTGCTTGGTGCCTAGAATAATACTAAATGATAGGTATTAAGCTGGCATCTTAATTGTTCTGGCATCTTGCATTAAAAATCCCAGTGGAATTTTTCATTTTCTAAATACAGGGTGTATCAACTGAAATGAGCATAAGCTCTAGGAGCAGGTGAATGAGGCTAGTGCTGTTCTGTTATTTGAATGAGCAGCACCACAATTACTCCTTCATACATGTTTTAATAGATATGTTGAGCACACTTCATTTACAATTAGATTTCTGAAAAATACTTACTGCCATTTCAGATTCACATATAACCCACAAAACTCTCTAGCCATAATAAGACCATATTTTAATGTTCATTGTTTATTGACCTTTAAGAGAATATTAAATTAACCCATTTTATTTAAAGACATAGCTGTGTTAATCTGAAAAATCAGTATGCAAAGAAGTCTTTCAGTACCTAACTGAAAAAGAGAAGCTGGTAGTAAGAATATTTGCAGACTTGAGCCTACATCAGATGCTTTTTTAAAGGCATTCTATGGTGAGACCAAAAGTTTTACTAACCTTAGCAACCACCTAATTATAACTATAGGAGGGTCTGTGCTGAAAGACACCAAAGGCTCACTTTCATTAAAACCTAGAGACATCTGAACTTTTTTTTCCCTCAGAAGACTTTTTTTTTCTTTCTTCTTACTGTGAATAAGAAAATGCAACCAAGGGTCTGGTTTTTGTAATGACGGCTTTGGAGAGTTCTAATGAGTAGCTTACTTCATTCAGTTTTGTATTCTGATAGCTGGATTTCTAAGGATGAAGAAATTAGTCTGAATAAAGGTAATCTCAGAACAGTTTAGAAATCTAGCATAGAAGAAAATTATATACTAAAAATGCCATTATTTTAGGATGTCAGATAGAACTCTGCCTTCCCACCTTCTACACTTAACACATTCTTTAACATGCAGCTCTAACTATGGTGAAGTCCTAAACACAGCTATTAGTACTTCATGCTTTACTGGGATTGCAGTAATAAAAATGGAACAAATCAGTTGGATTAAATATCACCTAAAAACTGTTCCAGTGTTAAGAAAATACAGCTGTTGAAATTGCAGTACAATAATCTAACCCAGCAGTTCTCATCTTGTGCCATTTTCATGTTTTGTTATTGCTTGCAGCCTATTATTCCAGAAATGCATAAGGGAACAGAGCTTGAGAAGTTATTTTTATTTGGAAAAAGAAGTTACTTTTAGAAAGTAATCAGTTACAGCTCAGAAGTTCCCCATACTATGTCGTTATTGTTGAATTATGGTGAGAGTGTGCAGAGTGTGTGCAGGACTGCCATTCATCAGCTCCATACATCTCTGGATCCTGTAGCTCCCTGCGACTTGCAGCAATCCATGAAACCAGAGCAGAGATCAAATTATCTTCAAAAGAAGGTTCTTTATTCTTCAGTTGCAGAATTAACATGATAACTATTTACATTGTAGAACATCCATCATACAGGCAGAAAACAAAGGAAACTCCATGCCAAGCCCAGCAATCCACTCAAGGCAAAAATGAAAACGCAATAACTCCACCCCCAGGTTGATACCTTTATAGACATTTGCTAAACAGCTTCTAAATCCAGCCTTCTTCCTGTGTCTTGTGTCATGCGACCAGTGGTTCTCACACACTCTCATGACCTAATTTGTTATTCTCTTGTATCCTGTGTTCCCACACACACACTGACCTTGGCAAGGTTGTTTTCATGTAATCCACCCTGCAGGCTAAAACTTTTGCAGCTAGAACTTTCCCACATCTGTACATTTCCACTTTTGACTACAAAACCCAACAGTTATTGTTCTAATTTCTTGGAGTCAAGAATAACTGAAGGTTGCAGTTACTCTATATAAAGAGTGAAGCTGCCCCTTACCAAATCACATTTATTACTGGAAAAAGTAGCAATTTACAAGTGCCTTGATATTTGTAACTCATTACCTCTAGGAAAATGCATCAATCACATCAGTGCTTTATATCAGGGGTAGGCAACCTAAGGCCCGGGGGCCAGATGTGGCCCCCCGAGGGCTTTGGACCTGCCCCAGGTGGGTCCTGCCGCCGCCGCTGCCCACCATGATGATATTGATTATTGTCATTATTACTTGTTCTTGGGGTTTTCTTGGCAAAATCTCCACAGGGGTTTTGCCTTAGCTTTTCTGGGGCTGAGAGAGTGTGCATACATATTTTTTAATTTTTTAATTTAAATATTTATTTATTTATTTATTTATTTATTTATTTTTGGTGCTTCAGCCCCCCCCAATTGTCTGAGGGACAGCAACCTGGCCCCCAGCTCAAAAAGGTTGCCTACCCTGCTTTATATAATCAAGTGTGACATATCACAAAGGAATCTATAAAATAAGTATGAAGCATTTATTATTTTCAAGCAGTTCCCTGTTCCCCCGAGATCCAGGACATCTTAAACAAAATTTAAATTTTAAAAAAAATTATGCAAGTTTATAATGTGATGATGATGATGATGATTCACAACTTGTAAAATAAAATTATTTCTTAGCAAATAATTAGGATAGAGAAAAACTCTGAACTGATGTATAACAAATTGCTGAAATTATGAAATGGATGCAAAGGGGAAAAGACCCATACCATATTGGTTATGTGACAGATGCTAACACATGTGGCCATTGTAAGGGAAATAAACACAGCTTTCTCTTTGTGAGTTCCACAGAGCCATCGAATTGCATTCCAGTGTGTCAGATGCATGCCTGAAAATGAAATTGTCAGAGCCCAGGGGTCCATTCAGATTACATAATCATAGCACTCTGGTTTTACTTTAATTGCCACAGCAATATTATTTGGAATCCTGGGATTTGGAATTTAGGTAGGAGCATTTTGAATCTGCAGCAAGACAGCAGTAAGGCCCCATCAAACTACAAACCCCAGGATTCCATAGAATTGAACCATGCCACATAAAGTGGAATAATGACACTATAACTGTGTAGTGTGAATGCACTCCAGGAGTGCTTCACCTGACCAATACTACATTACAGAAGAAGATTGCTTGATGAGCTTTCTCAGTAGGGATGCAGTTCTCCAAATGCGTGTGCAAGGATCAATTTGACCAGGGCACTTAAAGGCTGGATAGCTGAGCAAAGCAGATGCCAGATTTCCAGGCAACCACAAATGACTCACTGATAATGGATTGTTTTCATCTTGTTTTCAGCTTTACAAAATTTGGGGGTCTTTTTGCCCAGGTGTAGCTGCACTGCAAACTGGCTAAAAAAAAAATCAATTGTATTTGGGTTTGTTAACATGCTGAGGTCTTGTTCCAGTACAGTTAACAGCTGCTGGTACTCAGGTTATTGGCTTATATCTTAACTCAGTTGTGAAGCATCACCATTGAATCCTACTTACACATTACCAAAAAAGAGGGGGAAAGATTACTACAGACACAAAATTATATTATACACATACATATACATATACATATACATATACATATACATATACATATACATTCCTCCCGGTATAGGGACTCAAAGCTTTTATAATTTAAATAGAAGTATATCATCATCATCATCATCATCATCATCATATTTCTATCCTGTCTTTATCCCAGATTGGGACTCAAAGCAGCTTAAATGATTAAAAAATGTTAAAAATCTACAAAATACAAATATTAAAACACAATTAAATAACCAGAAAATATTAAAAACCAGATTAAAACATTATGACAATACATTATCCCAGTATGGGGAAGACAATAACCTGGTGACTTCTGTGCCAGCTAAATCTGCTTTCAAAATCATTATGTCCAGAAAGAGAGATAAAAAAATCCTGTAACACATTTGAGATTATAGTGCTTATCACACTAGTAAATTATTGAGTTGTCCTATTCAAAATCCACTTCACCTATACTTGCAAAGACAGATGAATGCTGACACTATGTATCATACCTTCACCACATATATGTTTTAAATGTGTGCTTTAATAGCTTAACTTCTACTCTTTTCTTTTCCATACTATATGTTTCTTAGTACCAACAATGATGTCCACACTGCTCTATTTACCTCACCTCCTGCATCATGACTGGTTTCCCTATAATTTTACTTTATAAACAATGCAATAATAATGCAAAAATGGCAAGACATTACAGCAGCATTACACTATTTCTTTAAGAAAATTAAAAAAAATGTTGTTGTTAAAAAAATGTTTTTAAAAAGTAACACTTTGGTATGTGTTACCGCAGGACAGCAGAGGAAAGAGATTTGAAAAACA